TCCGGAATATGGATACTTTTCTGTTCTCATTCTTTATTTCTTCTAATTATGAAACCTTGACCACTGTTGTTTTGGTCAGTGGTTAATAGTAGTATGCTTCATAGAATCTGTATTTTGTCTTACTAAATTTATAATGTGATTTTTTTCCATTTTATAAAAATTACCTATTAATAAAATTATAGTTCACTGAATACTGCATTTAAATTTTTTTGCCACTTTGCACATAGCTATTTCCTTTTCTGTAGGTAAGAGAAAACTTCTAAAATGTAATAAATTTTAAGATTTATTTCTCATTTTCAGACCTTGTCACATTTGGGAATTCTCAGTCAGGTATCTAAAGGATTATTGAATCCAAATGGGAAAATGTTGGCTCTATTGAATAGCAAGAGTACTTATTTGATTGTGGAAATGGTTGTTGGCAGGCAAGCTAGAATGACTATTACCATATGTTCATTTAACTTTTAGATTTGGTGAGTTTTTTCCCCCTTGAGTTTGGGGAAGTACCAATAACATATTAAGGGCTAATTATATGATCACTTTCTTTGTCTTCCAGTTTTAGGAAAATGTAATGTTTATATGACATTGTACTAGTTGCTTTATCAAATAGTCTTTGTGAAAAATAGAAAATAATGCAGTGATCATACTGTATGAAAATTATGTCTTTGAAATTAGTGTTATATAGGCTTTATTTTAGATAGTTCTACATATAAGCTTGATTTCTGATTCTGATTGATTTGTGAAAAGAAGTATCTTCGAAGAGAATTCTGATAGCAGCTTTTAGTGTTTATGAGAATGCTGTGTGGAAACTGTTATGCAATACGATAGTCCTCATTTAAAACTGTAAATTTCAAATAAATAAATTCTTGTTTTTCTTTTAGAACTATTTTGCAAGCTGGTTCTCCACAATATGACATCGAAATTTTAAAACCAGTCAACATGCTTTTGTCCATACAGAGAAATTTATCGGCAACATGGTATGTGCAAATTCCTGGGATGGAGATAAAAGGAAAACTAAAACCTATGCAGGTGAATATCTAGTATAAAATATTTGACAGTTGTCTGATAGGCTTTTATCATAATCATAGTGCAGTTCTAGTGCACATCAGAAGTGCTGTGCTACATTGAAAGAGAAAACTTCGTTAACTACAAACGAGATCGTCCTTGTTTCCCATACTTTTCTTTATTTCATTTTAGTTAGATATTTAAAATGAAGAAGTCTGAGATAAAACCTATTGGAGTATACTGAAAATATTATTCTTAATTTTGGAGAATTACGTTAAAGTTTTAACACAGTTAAATTATAAAACAATGCAAAGTGATGTTCAGATACCACCTATTCAAAGCACCTTAGTTTTTTAATGTGTAGAAGCTTTCTTTTAAGTAGAAAAGTGGACAGAATTTTGAATAGGTAAATATATTTGTTTGGTAAGCATACAAATACAGCAGTATTTTTAATAGCGTAGTTAGCAGGTTACATGTAGGCTCACAGGGGGAGATGAGACTGGTTAAAGATAGTCACAGAAGTGTAGGAGTCCTGTGATTCTTGTGTGCCTATGTGTGAAACTGTTGAAGCCAAACAGCAGGAGATGAGGTAGGGGAGGACATACTAAACAAATAGAGTGTCTGAAGAATAAATAAAAATTTAGTTTAGTGGTTTTTGATATTTGTGATTATTTCAAAGTTCTAAGATAAACAGGAAGGCTCAAAGGAGCAGAGTTCTGCTAGGGAAGAAGTTAAAATTGACACTTATTGTGGAAATGAAGGTTTCTGTTTGTATATACTAGTGGATATATGTTACATGAGGAAGAATTATCAAATTGTGTCTATTTGGGGTATTCATAGAGTAGGCTGTTTTCCGGAATATGGATACTTTTCTTAATTTCTCCCTTGCTGCCAAGAGATCAGATTCCAGGTCTAATATTTGACTTTTCCTTTTAAAGATGATGTGGATATTGGTTCCCTAAAAGCAACAATAAAACCTAAATGCCTGTTAGTAGCAGAATGTAGATAAAATTATGGTATATTTATATAGTAGACATTGTAAAGCAGATAAAGTGAATGGACTAAAACTATATGAAACAAAATGGATATATCTTAAAAATGAAAAAAGTGAGTTGCAAAACGATAGTACAGTTCTATATTATTTCAAATTTTATAACAGGCAAGACAATGCTATATATGTTGTTTAGAGATGCAATAGTAGTAAATGTAAGAAAGTATTCATGGGAATAATAATTCTCTAAGATAGTGTCTTTCTCTGGGGGTGAAAGGAGAAGGAAATGGGGTCTCAGGTACACACGGGGCTTCAGCCATATCTTAATGGGGAAATGAGATCTGAAGGAATATAGCAACTTGTTAAGACTTGACAAAGCTAGGTGGTAGGTTGACAGGGGAGGATTATAGTCTTCTCTATCCTTTTTCTTTATGTTTGAAGTATTTCAAAAGAAACAAGAAAAAAAATAACATATCTGATAGTTTAGCATTGAAATATGATCTTTATTTTCACCATAAGGACCTTTGTTAACTCAAGAATGTAGCCACAGGGGACAGAATCTCTCCTGCCTAACTTGTCAGTGATCCAGACCTCTGTATACACCCCATCTTTGGTCATAGTCTGTATAGTTTTCCTGGGTTTGGGGTGCAGCTAAGAAAGGGTATCAGGAAGGTGACACCAACAGGTTGTTTTGGGTAAATCAGTTTGACAGTGGGGGCCATCTTTCAAAATTGTCCTTCAGACTTATGGAGGGTCGATCTAATATATGATAGAGTTGCTCTTTTTACCCACAGCAACTGAAGGAGGTGGTGAAGTTAGCTGCTCTTCAGGAAGCTGTGGTATCTTGGTTGGTATCACCAGTGGGAATGGACACACAAGGAAGTTACCAAGAGTTAAAGTTACACCTGTTATTTGAGGACTAGGGCTTGGGACAAACAGGAAATCCCTGGGCCCTATCTTGTGCTAAAGTATCTCTCTATTTTCATTTAGGCTGGGAACCAGGCAATTTCCCTGGTGATAGGGACCTAATTTGGGAGGCACAGGGTACTGTGGCATTCACAGGTGATTTGCTCTACATGCATGCTTGTGTGGATTTGTGTGTAAGTGCTTGAGACAGGCCTTTTGGACCACTGTAAATGTTGGGGAAATTTACAAAAGGTAGAACAATAAGAACCTTCAAAGAAAGTACTGATTTAATGGATCTTAACAACCAGTGACAGCTTCGTTTGTTCTAGTTGCTTCATGTTGTTCGGCAGCCACCTGTGAGGAAGATGGTATTATTCCTATTTTAAAGATTAAGAAATCCGAGTTAAGGAGATTAAGAAACTTGGCCAACAACACAACTTGAAAGTGGTAGAGCTAATACAGATCTTTCTGATGCAAAATCCATAGCTTTCTTTTCTTTTTGCTATACATACCCTATTGTAAAGATAGAGATGGAGAAGTTACTGCCTTCCTGGTTAGTTTTTTTGGTTTCTAAAAATTCTTTGTAGATGAATTTGTTATTGTTCTAAGTGGTGTTATTCTTGATAAGTTTAACAAATGTTTTATGTATGTCCAGATGCGTATGTACTGAGATGAAGAGCTACATAGCGGGAGAGAATCTTTTTACTTTTTGGTAGAGACCAGAAACTGAACAGCATTCTTCCTGTATTGGGTTTGGAGGGAAGTAAATAATGTAGAAGAAGGAACTGGTACTGGGTGAGAAGAGGGAGAGGCAGAATGGAGATGGGAAAGTGGGGAAAGATCCAGGAACAGGATGACATAATGACAGGTAAGGCAGGGAGAGTGTCGGAGTGCCGGAGGGGGCTTAGATATGGGTGGAAGCAGAAGTGAGCTTACACACATTAGACAAGGTGAAATGCTTCTAGCCTGGTATTTGTGGTTCTCTCTCTTATTCTCTCTCTTTCTCCCTCTCTTTAAAACAGATGACAGTTAGTTCATTTGAGAAACTATAAATTAACACAAAGATATGATGGTCTGCATTTTTGATTATGTTAACAAATTATTGGTGATTTCTATTAATAGGTTGCTCTCAGTCAAGATGACTTGACAACTTTAATGAAAATTTTGCTAGAAAATCTTGGAGAAGCTTCTTCACAGCCAAGCCCCACCCAGTCTGTGCAGGAAGCCATGAGAGTGAGAAAAGTAGATGTCCCAAGTGGACTTGACCACCTCAAAGGTACACATCAATGAAGGTGTTTTGCTTTTATTATGTAAAAAACTTAGAATTAATGTCATATTTATTGTTTTTTTTTTTTCTGAATATAATATGGTATGAACTGATTCAGTATTGTACTGTTTATGTGGAAAATCTTCTGGGGCTGGGGCTGCCTCTTGAAGGTCCCAGGGAAGGAAGTAGCTGATGGTATGAGAGCATCATAAAAGCACAGCAGCCTGAGACTATTTATTATAAGGATATCATCTCTTTTTAGCCATGAAAATATTAACCTATTTACAGTCTAATAACACACATGATATTCATATCTATGACTTTAAATGATGAAAAATGAATGAAATAACATTTCACGTAATGTGTTTGAGAAAGTAAGAGGAAACCTTATATTTTAAAATGGCCAAATTCAAAAGGTTCAGTGCTTTTAACAGGTTCAATTTTAATGATCTGAAAATTTGTTTTATGTATCTGACTGCATAACTCTCCAGTACAGCCAGATAAGTAAAGCTGTTACTATGCAAGAACAGTAACTATGCACTTACTGTCTGCATGATGCTTATTTACTCTTTACTTATGAAAGCTAAATTTGCTGAATTCAGTAGGCACTGAGGTGGTATAAGTTAAGAGACAAGTCAAACTAGGCATGCAGTGTAGCAAGGTCCCACGATAATTAAGAGAGAAAAGGACCTTTGTATCACATATCATACTCAGATGAGTAAATCCATGAGAAAGGTATTCTTGCATAGTAACAGCTTTACATAAAATCACATACCTACTTAAAAGCTTTTTAATTTTCATATTTATGTTTGAACCATCAGAACAGGAAGATTTGACAGACCCAAAGCTTTCTGTGAACCAGAATGTTACTCTCCAGTTTGACTTTCACTTTGAATCTCTTTCCATTATTCTTTATAACGATGATGTCAACCAGGTATGTAGTAAATTTCTATAGTTAAAAATAAATCCTTAGTTCTTTATATTCAGCTGTAGAATATTGACTTTTTTTGATGTGACTATTCAGTAAAAATTTTAATATCTGTAAAATTCTATTTGGCCTGTAGAATATGCACTGATCCTGCCCTCTGTCTTTACTTTGTTAGTGTTTTTAATCTTATAAGGGTAAGGAAAAGCACTCAGGGTTTTATTTCTTTCCAAGTAATATCAGCACCAAAACACTTTTTGATTGATCACTAATACAGGAATTTTATATATGAGTGGTTAATTATATGTACAGTTTTATTGCATAGCTAGATATATATAACTATTTAAGAAGAATAGTTTAGTAGTGGCTTTGGAGCCTTAGATGATTATTTTTAAATTTGTGATTATCATGATATATAAGCATTAATTATGTATCCACTGAATAAATGTTACATGTAGTGAATATGTATTAACAATGCCAATTAAAAAATTGAATCAAAGTCTTGTGTCATAATAAATCTGTATTAATCATCTGTTATTATAGTCCATTTGTATATGTTCATGCATATTTCATATTGTTTTCTAAAATATATACAATATTCATACATTGTTACTGTTGAGTTTTGGTCTAGTATATGTCATTTGTGCAATGAAGTACCTTAATTTCTAATGTTTAATATTCATGAAAAATCATACAATGACCTTATAGGAAGTGAACAGTTAAATAAATGCATTCTTCATTTCACTTAAAGTGCCATCATTCTTTAGTTCCTCAGCCTTAGAATTTTGCTATCTTCTTTTACTTCCTTTTTTGTTCACCTTCCTTCTTCATTTAGATACTGAATACTGCAAGTTTTTTCTGTGAATGACATCATATTCTTTTCTGTCAATTCTCACTGCTGCTTTATTTGAGACTCTTCTCAGCTCATGCTTGTAATCCTGCAATGGCTTCCTTGTTTGTGGATCTTTTTCCTTTCATCCATCCTAGATGCACAAGTTCAGCTTACTAAATGAATCTCTTGTAGCCATTTCCAACTTTCCAGTCCACTTAAAAACATTCAGTGTTATTTGAATTTCAACTCATGGGAAAAAAATTTAGTTGCTCCAAATTGTCTGTATGAGGATACCACATCAGGAAAACATTAGTATGTTATGATTAGTAGATGTGTCTGAGATCTTTTCTATTAATGGCTACAGAAGAGAAGTTTGTGAATTACCTGACCCTACTGTCTGAGGGAGAAAAGATATGGAGTTCTGACCAGTGTCCTAGGGATTGCACATCAGCAGCACCCCTTTTATTGATGTCCTGGTCTCTAATGAGCAGCTGTGACTGATACTCTTTTCTTCCCCAGAGGTTGTTTGTTGGTTGGTTGGAGCTGGGCATACTTAGAGAATTCGGAATTATATGTTATGGTAGAATAAAGATTGAGATTCTTTTTCCTGTAAATAAAAGTTTAAATATTTAGTTTGGGATTTGGGACCTTGATTAGACCTCTATATTTCTTTCCAGCCTCATTCCCTACCATTCTTTAATTTCAATATTCAAGCCTACTCACCCTGTACCCTGTGTGCTCAGACCATCTTGAGCTGTTTGTGTTTTTTCCACATGTAGTATGGTCTTCTGTTACCCTCTTAGCCTATGTGATCCCCTTCAGCTTCCAGGGCTCAGTGAAGTTCTCATCTTCTTCTTCTTTCCTTTTTTTTTTTAAAAAAAGACAAGAGTCTCACTCTGTTGCTTGAGCTAAAGGTTGTGGCATCAACTTAGTTTATAGCAACCTCAAACTCCTGGGCTCAAGCAATCCTCCTGCCTCAGCCCCCTGCCCTCCACCCCTCCCCCCAAATAGCTGGGACTACAGGCACTTACCATTACATCCAGCTAAGTTTTTTCTATTTTTAGTAGAGATGAGGTCTCGCTTTTGCTCAGGCTGGTGTCAAACTCCCAAGCTCAAGAGATCCTCCCTCCTTGGCCTCCTAGAGTGCTAGAATTATAGGCGTGAGCCACCACACCTAACCTCTCATTTTCTTCCTGAGTTTTTCCCAGCCCACAGTGATCTATTTGACTTCTCTGTGATTCTGCTGTTTCTACTCTTTACCTAACCACTGAATATCCTGCTTGGAATGTGAGAAGATATAAATGTGAGAAGATACAAAAATTACTATATGTCACAGAGTATTCGATCATATGCAACTTACAGAATTTCCTTGTGCATATATTTCTATTTTGTTTTCTTGAATTAGGGTATATACTCACTGACATCACTTCCTATGCCCTATCCTTTCTCATAAACCCCATCATTGTATCACAGTGGTTTTGCAGAAGAGTTCATTAAATATTTATTAGTTTGATTGATTAATTGACAAAAATCTTTCCTATTTTGATTTGCATTGAACTGTAAATCATATAAATTTTTATATAATTAACCATTGTTGAATACCTGCACACATATATGTATTTGTTTGTATGTACATATATACTCATAAGCATGCGTATTATCCTCAGTTCCATTGATGTCTTTTAGCACTCATGCTTTTAAAATTTGTTAGATTGATTTGCCTTTAAGCTCTGAATTAAGTAATATGTTTAAAAGTAATTACATAATATTTAAAGATAACTGATTCTTTTGCTTGAAAAATATCCCACAGGAGTCCAAACTTTCATTACATAATGACACTTTCCGGCTTGGTGAACTCAGACTACATTTTATGGCCTCCGCAGGGAAGATGTTTAAGGATGGCTCAATGAATGTCAGCATTAAACTTAAGACGTGCACCCTTGATGATCTCAGAGAAGGCATTGAGAGAGCAACATCGAGGTTTGTCAGCTCTGAATTTGCTATACATTATTTAAGGTTGATGTGGCATCTGGCGTTGCTACCAGGCATTGCTAGGCTAGAGATCATCAAGAGATTTCTGTGTTTTGGTCATACTTTCTTATTTGAATTGCATCAAGAAGTAGTGATAATAATTAGATTCAGCTGCTTTCAAGTTTATATTAAAGGAAACTTTAATAACAAAAGGGAGTACTGTCTTAAAAATGGGAACTAAGAGAATATAACAGTTTCAATAGTTAGATCTACATGGGATAATATGTTGGTAATATATTTTTCTAAATTCTCCCTGGTAGAATCATTTTTTAAAAAAGCCTTCAAGTTATATATCTTTCCTTTGTCTTATTATTTTGTTCATGTCTTTTTAAAATAGTTCTGCAAAGTTTCTTTCAAAGTTTTAATAGAAATAGAATGCCTAGCATATCGTATTACCAGCCCGTTTTTGAAAGGGTAACTTATATTAGTCCCCTATAAAGTGGGAAATGCATAATTTCAATAGCTTAATTATATTTTTATTTCTTTCTCAAATAATGAAACACATGATATGTTGTACTTGATTTTTTTGGGGGGGGAAAACTGTGTTGCTACTTAAATTTGGACTCCATTAAATACATACTAAATATTTCTGAGCCCTTTGTTTTTCTGAAAGATCAATAAATGAGGAAAGAGTGCCATCATGCAACTAGCTTTTCCAGTTTGCAAATTTCACGTCTGGGGTAGCTGTCATAGCTCTTTAGGCAAGGGTGATAAGTGCCATCATCTCTGGTAGCAGGCTCTCTCCAGCACATGTGAGACTATAGGGGAATTATCATTGGGGACACTTGAAAAATGCATACTGATTTGAGTTGCATTGAATACTTTTGGATTCAAACTTTATAGAATAATATTTGGAGATAAATTCCTTCAGGGGAGGTTTTATTTCATAAAGTAGTATAAAAAGGTTGTCTTATATTTTGTGTGACCACATTGATGTTTTGTTAATTGCTCAAATTCCTTTACAGCATCATTGATTTGTTTCTCTAGTATTGCATTATAATTATAAAATATTCTGTAATTGCTTAATAACATGGGTTTTGCTTTGGAGATTAGGCGACCATGTCTTGGTTGCTAATGGGTAATTAGACCCAGTTAACAGTGAGCTGTTTTCTATTTAGACTAGAAACTGAAAGGCAAGAGAAAGATTATTGAGTTATATAGAAAAATTTTAATCTTTGTAATTGTTTTAGCAGAAATAAAATAATGAATGGCATATATTTTTTTCAGAATGATTGACAAAAAGAATGACCAAGATAACAACAGTTCTATGATTGATATAAGTTACAAACAAGACAAAAATGGAAGTCACATTGATGCTGTTCTTTACAAGCTGTATGTATGTGCCAGTGTGGAATTCCTGATGATCGTGGCAGATTTCTTTATCAAAGCTGTGCCTCAGAGTCCAGAAAATATGGCAAAAGAAACACAGTTTCCAAGACAGACTGTCACAGGGAAAGTTAAGACAGAGAAAGGTTAGCAGAATTTATCTGTTGTAGATGACAACTCGAATATTTTAAAAAAAGTTACCAAAAGGAAAAAAAGAAATGAGAATTTAAGAACATAAAATGAGTTTTTCTTTCAAATTTAAACATGTTATATATAAAAACTGTAGCACACAAATGTTTGTAAGAGAGAGATGCAGTAGAAATTGGTTTAGAGGCCAGGGAACTCTGCTCTGGTTCCAGCCGTGTCATTAGCATTTCTTTACTCATCCAGAAATAGAGGTAGGTGATGTGGGTCAGTGGTTGGCAGCCTGTTTTACAGGAGGGGAAACTTTTTTTCAAAGAAAACGTTTTGAAAGTTCTAGCACATCTAAGAGCAATTGAAATATAAAATTAGAAGGTGGGGACATTGGAGGACCCGGCAGTAGTTCCCTGGATATCACCTAACTGCCTAAACTATGTGGAGTAGTTTGCAAATGTCTGGTCTAGGTGTACCCTGAAACCACTTCAGTTCTATATTTCTTTTATTCCAGCATTACCAAGTAGATCAGTGATTTTTTTTTAATGTTAAATAATAATTGTCTAAGATTAGGCTTTTTTCTAATGTATAACTCAGCAAAATTGGAAAACTAACATTTACTGGCAAAGTAAGAATGTTGTATTTTTATTACTTTTAATGTTTCTTAAATAGTGATCATATCTGATATCTCTGTATTATTACATGCCTTGAATATATTTATACTATAGATTACATGACATTGACTATGGACTTTGTATGAAATCAAAGTAAACATGTAACGATAGTCTATCTACTTATCAGGGTCTCTGTTCCTCTTCCTGATATTCCTTCCCCTCTCCTGTTTTCTCCTTCTTGCCCCTGCAATATAACATTACATATATGCATGTATGTGTGTGTGTGTATACACCCACCCCTTAATTATGACAAAAAGAACTTCAAAACAAGATTATTCTTGCTAGCTCAAAGTGGTAATGATCTTCTTGGGATAGGGATGAGATTGCATTATCTTGCACAGTCAGCATTTGTTAATTATTTCCTCAGTATTATTAATAATAATGTTAATAACTAATTATATCATTAATTTCACTATATTCATTATAGCAAAATATTTAAAACAACTTAGCAACTTGTAGATAACATGTAGTCGAGTGACAAGATATACTTGGAACTTATTTGGTTCCTGTTTTGTTTCTTCAGATGACTCTGTGAGACCAAACATGACTTTAAAGGCCACAATTACAGACCCAGAAGTGGTATTTGTTGCCAACCTGACCAAGGCTGATGCTCCTGCTCTGACAGCCTCATTCCAGTGTAACCTCTCTCTGTCAACATCCAAACTTGAGCAGATGATGGAAGCTTCTGTGAGAGATCTGAAAGTGCTTGCTTGCCCTTTTCTCAGAGAAAAGAGAGGGAAAAACATTACCACAGTAAGAATTATCTTGTATCCTCATCTTGGATTGAAGAATGGCAGAGATGGTTGACTCATAGAATCCTACAATATGAGAGCTCTACAGAACCTTAGCGATTATTTAGTACAAACTTGGGTTTTTACAGATAAGAATGTTGAGTTCCAAACATATTAAATGACTTAGCCATGGCACCTGGTGACAGAACTGGGGACTTCCTCCAGATTGGTTTTGTTTTCTTATGCTATTTTCTATGGAAAAGTATTTGAATTTTAGTACAAATCAGTACTCTTTTTCAGCCTTTTGTTCACCATAGTATATCCAATGAATGAATATTTAAGCTTAGAATGAAAAAATTAAATTGGAATCGTGTGACCAAAAGAGATGTATTCTGCTATTATTAAAAGTTAATTTCAATTATGTTTTCATATTATTATTGAAAAATATGATTTTAGTCAATTAATTATCATAGCAATTATTTTTTAATAATAATTTCACTGTAAGAGGCTCATTATATTATGTTACTCATTTGCAGTGGTACAAATTTGTGGGCAAAGTGACTTGCATAAAGAAATGCAGTGCTAGACTTCATCTATACTTTATTGTGAAATATTCTTTGATAGGACCATCTTTCGACATGTCACGGAACGCTTATATTAATTATTCCATTAAAAGCTCATCCTAATTTTTAAAAGATGACAATTATGTAAAACTAATTACCCTATTCAGTTAAGCTGTAAGGTTATTTAATTTATATCTTTAATGATATATCCATCTACTTTGAACATTTGAAATTTATTCTAATAAGGACCTTATATGATATTCAAAACTGATCTGTTAATCATCTGGAAACTGTTCATTACCTACTTTCCTGTAGTCTTCAGATCATTTTTGTAGAAATTTCAAAAACATATTTTACAGAGGATATCATTTTAAAAATATCTTAGCAAAAGGAAACATTTTAAACTCCTGATAGTAAATGTTTATCATTACTTAAGGATTTGGCAAGAAGAGATTCATCAGAACTGCTTACATTTCTTTAACAGTGATTGCAGATTTATTATAGTTGAGAAGAGCCCTCACAAGAGATTTTCAGCTAATTTAATGTCTTTTTGCTTTTAGTAGTAGACTATATAGTTAATAAGATCCCAATTTAAGACATGGTTCTTGTGTGTATTACATATATAATGGATCTATTACTTAAGGAAATGTGAATTTCATTTATTTATTTCTAGGTGTTACAGCCGTGCTCTTTATTTATGGAAAAATGTACATGGGCTTCAGGAAAACAAAATATAAATATTATGGTTAAAGAATTTATAATTAAGGTTAGTGCCTATCATATTCTTTGAGTTAATTCTTATTCTTCTAACAATATTATATATTTGCAGTTACTTGACACAGTATCTTTTGACCTCTCTCATAAGTCAAGCTAAAATCGATTTCTCTCTCTGTCCCAAAGGACACAAAAATGAGGTGGTTAATGTCAATAATGGTAGTAGCTTTACTTATATAGGTCATGACCAGTGGTGACTGAACGATGGCTCAAACTCATTTCTTTTGAAATACTATGTAGGCCAACCATGGTGGCTCACGCCTGTAATCCTAGCACTCTGGCAGGCTAAGGCAGGAGGATTGCTTGAACTCAGGAGTTCGAGACCAGCACTGAGCAAGAATGAGACCCCTTCTCTACTAAAAATAGAAAAATTAGTCTGGCATTATGGCACACACCTGTAGTCCCAGCTACTCGGGAGGCTGAGGAAGGAGGATTGCTTGAGCCCAGGAGTTGGAAGCTGCAGTGAGCTGTGATGACACCACTGCACTCTACCCAGGGCGAAAGAGTGAGACTCTATCTCAAAAAAAAGAAAGAAAAAAGAAATTGAAGTACCATGTAAATAGCAATGTAGTTTTTTCTCAATATCTTAAAATATTGGAAGTGTTAGATTATATTTTATTAATGGATTTATTTTTTAAAGATATAGAGTAGTAAATAGAGGGAAAACTTGAATTTGCATGTATTTTCTCTAAGGCACTAGGTTGAATGATGGGGGAATTTTCCATTTCTTTGTACATAAATTTATCTATTGATTCAACAAACATTTTTTGAGCTTTTACCGTGTATAAAAAATGTCCTGTAAAGACATTGGGTATAGATGGTCCTTGCCTTCAAAAAATTTAATGACCTGTGTTGGAGAAAGAAGTAAATCAGTGATTACGACTTTCAGTGCTAGAGACATACACAGGGTACAGTTGGTAGCATAGGCAAGGCGCCTTTAATTCAGACCAGGACATTAGCTGTCTGGAAGCAGGATTACTTGAACTGTATTTTGAGAGTCCGGTGAAGGTAGATGGAGAGGGAGGGGAAGGGCTCTCCAGACAGAAATGACAATATGCGCAAAGGCAGAGGTGTGAAAAAATTCTTTAAGGACTTAGAGGGGTGGCCCCATATGGCTGGAGAGAATGGTGTGGTGGAGTTGTAGGACTGGGAACATTAATTATCAGTGGCATTAATAAGTCAAGGGAAAAAAAAGTATTCAGTTGACAAGTAAGTTAGGAAAGCAATGCATACTACATCCTCCTTTTGGTGGTATAATTTTATCTCCTTAGCATATTAAGTGAGTAAGAATTATGAGAAGTAAACAATAAAGAAATACATTTAACTTATTTAACCCAGGATTGCTCAAACTTTGGGGAATTCTGGGTAGCTGATTGAATAAAGAGCTCTATACACTAAGCTAAAGAGAGTTTGAATTTTATCCTCGAAGTTATGGGACGTTGCTGAAGATTGTAAACACAGGAATGCCATGCCCAGATTTCGGTTTTAGAAAATTATGCTGCTGGCAGTTTGGAGGGTGGACTGAGAGGGTGCCGACTAGACATGGAAGATATCATCAGTGTAGAACTAAGGTACAGTGATAGGAATGAGGAAAGTGAGTAAAGCTACTATCCAGAGATGATAAGACGTAGAATTTGCAGATCTTGGAGTAAGTCAAGGTGATCGATGATCTATAGCCTTCCTATTTCAATAAGACAAATGGAAAGCCCATCTGTGTATATATTGATGAGGAGCACACACTTTGGTTTACTTAATGCAGTTGATGTGCACGTGAATTTTTCATTTTCAGTCTACATTTGTCTATTCACCTAACACTACTTTGCTCTGAATTGATTGGTCTAATTTTAGGTTTTGACTGTTGACATATAACGTTAGTTACTTAATTTTAGGTAACCTGAGCAGAAATCAATGATACGTGGTTAGTTGACTTTACACATGACTTTGTATGTTTTCTCTTGTTTTTCTTAGTTATGAATTTAATATACTTAAATTTTTAATGAGTTACTTTTTAACATTTTTAATCATGTATATATTATTTCTTCTCATCAGGGAAATAATTTATTTTAAATATTTTTCTGCTTTCTTTTTAAAGATTTCACCCATAATTCTTAATACTGTGATGACAATCATGGCTGCTATGTCGCCAAAGACAAAAGAAGATGAATCCAAAGATACATCTAAGGAAATGGAAAATCTTTGGGGTGTCAAATCTATTAATGATTATAACTCTTGGTTTCTTGGTGTTGACACGGCAACAGAAATAACAGAGAATTTCCAAGACATCCAACATCCATTGATAGAGGAAAATTGTGCTGTTGTTGTGGAGTCAATTCAAGTTACCTTAGAATGTGGCCTTGGGCATCGAACTGTCCCCTTATTATTGGCAGAATCTAGGTTTTCAGGAAATATTAAAAATTGGACTTCCCTAATGGTTGCTGCTACTGATATGACACTAGAGGTACGACCACATCATTTAATACCTTCAGAGACAACTTTTTGAAAGTATAATTACAGAATTAAGATATGAGTTCTTCTTGTTTGTACACGGCCACTGCAAGTATATGTGTGAATAGATAATGTATTCTAACATTTGATTTGTTGATGTATAGTGTTATTTTTTTGGTAATTATTTTTTAAAGATTCTTTTGCAGAATAATTTGTTCACGGTAGTAAAGTTAAGAGAATAAAGGAAAATATACTCTATATATTATTTGTGTGTTTAGGTGGGTTTTTAAAATGGTTATGACATATAACATTAATTACTTAATATTTTTTGCTGCTGGTTACAGAATTATGTGATTAAAGTTGAAAGATTTGCTTATTATAATTTTGTGCCTTTCCAGGTTCACTATTACAATGAGATCCATGCTGTCTGGGAGCCACTGATTGAGAGAGTAGAGGGGAAGAGACAATGGAATTTAAGGCTTGATGTAAGGAAATCTCAACATATCTTTGTACAGAGTGATACCATACATATCCATTAATATTTTTTAGTTCAGTGACTCTCAGGATGTGAGCCAGGATCCTTGAAGGGGATCTATGAGGTCAAAAACCTCTTTTCATAATAATAGTCAGACATTATATCTCTCTCATGAATATACAGTGGAGTTTTCCAGAGACTATGTGAATGCAATATTGAAACATATTGAATGCAGAGCAGGAATGAGATTTATCTGTCTTCTCTTAGGACAGGCACTAAAGAGATTTTCATATGCCCCTCCTTTCACTATATTTTTAAATAGGAATTTTTATTAAACATTTTATTTATATTAACATATAATTTTTACTTTAAAAGGAATATTAAAAATGTTCTCAACTTTAATTTGTAATAGAGTGTGTATTGGTAGATACAGCACATAAATGAAGCTCTTTAGGTTACTCAGGGATTTTTAAGGTGAGACGAGAATATTTGAGAACTGCTCTTCTAGTTCATGAACTCTTTTATGTTATCTTTTTATGGTATTTCTTGAGAACACTTCAGAATTCTAGATACTGAAGCACATTTTTCCAGATTAACAGGAAAGTGTTAGTAAATTGTCACAGTACACCTCTCTGGGGCAGCCGGATTGAGGAGTCAGGTGCTGAATTGACTCCATAGATTTTTTTTGTTAAAGAGGAGTCACTTAACCTGTGTTCCAAGTAAAGGAGAAGTAATATTCTGACCTGTCTCTTTCTGACATAGGGAGGCTAACAAATAACATTTTACAAAGCTTTTGAAATGCTGTTAGAACAAACACTGATGGAATCTGATGGCTAGTTGAAAGCTTATTATATTACTTATTTGTAGGTGTTATTGGTAGAAAGTAGAAGGAAAAAAACTTATTTCTGAATGGTAACTCCAATAAGGATGAATTTATTTATATATCTTTTCAGTTTTTTAAAATTTTTAGTTATTATAGATACATAATAGTTGTATATGTTTATAGGGCACATTTGATATTTTGATACAATGTGGCATGCAGTATGAATCAGTCAAACCAGGGTAATTGGGCTTTCCATTGTCTCAGGTGTTTAACATTTGTGTTAGGAACACTCCAATTCTACTCTTTCAGTTATTTTAAAGTATATACTAACTTATTGTTGATTATAGTCTCTTTGTGGTGCTATGAAATGTGGTTCATTCTGACTGTCTAACTATATATTTGCACCTACTAACCATCCCCACATTATCCCCTCCTCCCGTACCCTTCCCAGCCTCTGGTAACCGTCATTCTACTCACTATCTCCATGAGGTCAATTGTTTTTAATATTTAGCTCCCACATATGAATGAGAACATGCAAAATTTGTCTTTCTGTGCTTGGTTTATTTCACTTACAATAATGTTCTCCAGTTCTCCCTCCAGTTGTTGTAAATGGCAGAATTCATTTCTTTTTTGTGGCTATATAATATTCAGTGGTGTATATGTACCACAATTTCTTTATCTATTCATTCATTGATGGACATTTACAACATATTGGCTATTGTGAATAGTGCTACAGTAAACATGGGAGTGCATATATCTTTTTAATATATTAATTGCCCCTCCTTTGTATATATACCCAGCAGTGGGATTGCTGGTTCATATGGTAGTTCTGTTTTTCGTTTTTTGAGGAACCTCCATACCCTTCTCCATAGTGGTTGCACTAATTTATATTCCTATCAACAGTATTCAAGTGTTCCTCTTTCTCCACATCCTTGCCAGGGTTTGTTATTGCCTGTCTTTTTAACTGGAGTGAGAAGACATCTCATTGTAGTTTTGATTTGCGTTTCTCTGGTGACTAATGATGTTGAACATTTTTTCATATACCTGTTGGCTATTTGTATTGTCTTCTTTTGAGAAATGTCTATTCAGATCTCAATAAGGTTCAATTTAGACTTCAGAGTCATCTTAGATTGCTCATCAGTACATAATCACCAGTTAGGCAATGGTGAATAAATATAGCTATGCTTTCAGGAATGCACAAGAGACAGCTATTCTAGCTAACTTTGAGTAGTTTCATGGCACAATTCTGAACCTATGCATAGACTGTGCACTGAGAGAAAGAATGCTGATCTGTGTGGTATCAAAGTGAAGCGCTGAATATTTTTGGAAATGAGACTTTTGAGATTATAAAGTGACCAGTTTAGGAGAACTTAACTCTATTCAGTATTTTAATTTTATTATTAATTTGCTCATAACTTAAGCTTGTTATATTATTTATCTTCATAGGTAAAGAAGAACCCAGTCCAGGATAAAAGTTTGATGCCAGGAGATGATTTTATTCCTGAACCACAAATGGCAATTCGTATTTCTTCAAGAGATACAATGAATATAACAATATCCAAAAGTTGTCTTAATGTTTTCAACAATTTAGCAAAAGTATGTTTGATTCTTGCTTGGAATATTTCAAGTGGAATTTAAAAATGAAACATATAGGTATTTTTTTTGTCATCAGAATTAGTTTCTGAAAAATATGTAGTCATGGTATATTTTGGAAAGAATGTACCTTTTGCAGAAATTTTATTATGATGCTGTGTTCCTTTTCAGGGTTTTTCAGAGGGTACAGCTTCTACTTTTGACTACTCTTTAAAAGACAAGGCTCCTTTTACGGTAAAAAATGCTGTGGGTATTCCCATTAAGGTTCGGCCCAATTGTAATCTCAGAGTAATGGGCTCTCCTGAGAAAACTGATATTTTTGATGTTGATGCTGGCCAGAATTTGGAATTGGAATATGCCAGCATGGAACCTTCACATCAGGGGAAACAATCTACATTGAGCCGTCAAGAAAGCTCCTACTTCACTCTGACCTTTGGTAAGCTATATTTATTTTATTTTAAGGGCATCTTTGGAATTGTTTATGTGGGCTTATTTTTGATAAAATATGAAGAAAAAGTTGTGCTGCAGATATCTTAGGATACAACATTTCTAAAAGCTTTAAACATGTAGTTGAAACTTATCTCTTGTTTTCCTCTAAACTTGAGAAAATTAAACTTTACTGATTTAATTAAGTACCTAACAAACTAGATTATTTCTGTGCCTCTAAATAATACAATATATAGTGTACTTCAAACAGGATGAGAGTTCAATGAGGAGAGAAAATAACTATGTTCAGAAGTCCTGAAATATTGACAGTGATTATTACTATTACAAGGAAAAGGAGATGGTTGCTATATAGTTGAGAGAATAAAAAATAAGTTGAATTTTGTTTTAATATATTCAAAACCCTAAGAAAAATCATTTGGGTCAAAAATTTTATATCAGTAACTGGTTTTCTTTCTTTATTAGTTCCTTTGTCTTAGAAAAGCATTTTGTAGTGATCATTTCTAGTCATGAGGAAAAATACTCTTGTCATTATTTTGAGGTGTTGAAGATTATTCTGTCATAGAGAAATATCGGTAAGTTAATATTTGGAATTCTTGTCACTTGTGCTCTGCATTAGTACCTCATGGGTATACAGAAGTTGGGAATATCCCTGTTGCCAGACCTGGACGGCGATTGTATAACGTACGGAATCCCAACACCAGTCATTCCGACTCCATCGTGGTACAGATTGATGCAACTGAAGGGAATAAAGTAATCACCCTTCGCTCACCTCTCCAGGTGATACTTCAGAGTGAATTCTGTCCCTATGAGTATATCAAGAAATAGTAAATCATTTAGCTGAACATAGGAACATAGTAAAACTTCCTTAAGTCAATACTGATTTTTCAGAAATAAATAGTAAACTGAAGTGGTATCTATTCCCTATCCAACTTGCTTTTGTAATATTTTTTATTTTAAATATCTATAGGTTTGTTCATTTAAAGCTCATTTTTGTTGTCTTCTGGGTTTAAAGTTAATGAAGTCTCTTTTGTGTATTCCTTTAAATATTCAGAAATGAGGAATATTGTAGTTACAGTTGGTTTTCAAATAGTATAACATTTTATTCTCTTTGCATATCATTTGGATTTCTATTTTTCAAGGAAAAGGAATATTGGAATGATCTACTCCACTGAAAAAAAATTTAGCATCTTAATCTATGTTAAATACTTTCTTTTCTACCTTTATGGCTTTATCAGACATTTTCTGTGCATTACTACAAGTTTCATTATATGGTCAGCAAAAGAACATTTTTTCCTGATAATGACATAAGCTAAAAGTGATTTCAAATTTTGACCATTGGTTATCTCTTTGTTATTAGTTCTGGCATGTAACAGATTGCAGTCAAAAAAAAAACAAACTTGTATTACTCTTCTTATATTTCTTTTGCTGTCTTTTTCTGTGTAGTAACGATGCATCGACAAAAGGTTGTAATTGAGAAAATATGGCTGAAATCTTCAAAGAATAACACATTTGAAAGATAATATTGACTGACAGTAAACATAAGCATGTAATATATAGAACATATGAATATCTTATTAATAATTTTCAACTGCCACTTAAACATCAAATTTAAAATAATATAACACTTAACTATCCTAAAAAATTTTCAGTTGCCAATAAAAATATCTTCCAGTACTGAGTTTGAAACTTTTTAGATCTAAAGGTAATTGTGTGCCTCTCACATTTTTCTGTTGAACTTACATATATTTTTAACAACTTTTATGTCCTTTTGTCCAACAGATTAAAAACCATTTCTCTATTGCATTTATCATCTATAAATTTGTTAAGAATGTTAAACTATTGGAGCGCATTGGAATAGCCAGACCTGAAGAGGAGTTCCATGTTCCTTTAGATTCATATAGGTAGATACTTCTTTGAATATACTGAGCTTTAAAAAATTTATAGTATATATTTTTAATTTTATGAATTGGGGATCTATATTCTGGATAAAACCTCTGATTTTTATTATCTAAAGATCTATAAAAGCCATATTTAAGACACATATTGTTTATGCTTCTGTAGGGAAATACATTTATATTATCACTGAATTTACCAGATGAAAATTCCTTACTGTGTACTTGATGTTTTAGAATTTTCTGAGATCTATTTTTATTAGATTGCCTTTGTATTTGAAATGGAAAAAATAATTTTTTTTGAGACATTGTCTTGTTCTGTCACCTTGGCTAGAGTGCGGTAGTGTCATCATAATTCACTGCAACCTCAAACTCCTGGTCTCAAGCAATCCTCTGGCCTCAATCTCCCAAGTAGCTGGGACTACAGGCATGCGCCATGATGCCTGCCTAATTTTTTCTAATTTTGATAGAGGCAGAATCTCGCTCTTGCTCAGGCTAGTCTTGAACTCCTGACCTCATGAGCTCCTCCCACCTTGGCCTCCCAGAGTTCTAGGATTATAGGTGTGAGCCACTGCAACTGAAATGGAAAAAAATTTTTAAGTCCTTATTTACAGAGTGTTTTTTCCCAGAAGGTTCCTCCATGAGTTAGCTATGTGACTTTGGGAAAGTTTCTTAACCTTTTTTAGCCATGGTTTCTTTATCTGTCAAAATAGAAATAATGGCACCCAACTTGTAGAATCAGCATGAAAATTCAGTGAGATTCTTTTTCTTAAGTTTTTGATCAAAACTTTTTTCCCACTGTTTTTTGTTTGTTTGTTTGTTTTGCTTTTTGTTTTTTGCAGATGTCAATTGTTTATTCAGCCAGCTGGACTCTTAGAGCGTCAGTACAAAGAATCCACCACTTACATTTCCTGGAAGGAAGAACTTCACAGGAGCAGGGAAGTCAGATGCATGTTGCAGTGTCCGTCAGCAGAAGTCAGCTTCTTACCTCTCATAGTGAATACAGTTGCTCTGCCTGATGAATTAAGCTACATATGTACACATGGGGAAGACTGGGACCCAGCTTATATTATTCATCTTTATCCTCCTCTCACTTTGCGGAATCTTCTCCCGTATTCTCTAAGATATTTACTTGAGGTATATCTCTTGAATTTTGTTTGATTTTTGCTGTTGGACAGAGTGAATTCTGATTCTGTTTTTATGGTATTTTTAGTTGATCTCTGTGTTTTATATAGCGTGTCTATAATTCTTTAATAGTATTAATGATAGCAAAAACTGGAATATAATCTGTGTGTTTGGAACTATACTGTGTGCTTTATGTAAATTAACATATTTAATTTTTACAGTAACTTCCTGAAGTAGATATTATAATTATACCCATTTTCCATATTAGGAAACTGAGTCACAGTTTCTGTGACTGGCCCAAGATCCCACAGTGAGTGAATGGTGCAGCTGGCATTGGAACCTAGGTGTTTTGACTCCTTGATCCCTACCACTATTCTCTGCTATATCTGCCATAAATTAAGAACCATAACTGTCTCTTTATTAAGTAAAATTTCATTAACTTAATGATGAGAAAAGCCAATAAAAAAATATTTCATCTTAATATAAGGTTTTTACGTTAATGTTAATATGATTATTTGGCCCAAGTTTCTATTGAAAATAAAAATAATTCCTGTCTTTGTTAAGAAATAATAGGGAATATTTTCTAGTAGTGAAGTATGATAAATTTTTTTTAAGTTTTACATGCCATAATACTTTAAAACACAAAAATCTGGGAAGCATTTGGAACCTGAATTGTTTGTTTTCATTATCTGACAATGAGCCATTCCTGGGTTGCGGAGACAAAAAATTAATTAAATGAATATATAGTATTTATACAAGAGAAGTTTTCAGTAAGGAAGCCAGATTTATATGTTGCTATTACTTATTTTTAAAATAATTCCACCTTACCTAGATAGCTTGTCAGAGGTGTTTGACATCACTTTCCTTATTCCCTTCATATGGAAACCATTATTCATGGTATGTGAACAGAGAATGAAACTGAAGCCCGGGCAGTTAAGTGGCTCATTTAATGACATAGCTCAAATGTTCATTCATACATGGCCAGGATTCATGAGTACAGCCTTCGATTCTTTATATAGATCTGATTTTCTTTCCTCAAATCTTTTGGTTACTTGCCTATTAATGGCCCAAAGTCAATTTCTGCCTGTGGGTATGGTATAGTTTTTTTCTTTTTAGTTTTTAGTGATTGCTGGACATTCATAATATGTAAACAAGGTACTTCAGGAGAGACTTAGCTATTAACTGGCATTTGGTTAGTTATTTACATTTGTGTAAAATATGGATTTTGTTATTTCAGAGGTTTTAAAAGATACTAAGCAAACTTAGTTTTTGTTTGTTTGTTTTTAGGGAACAGCAGAAACTCATGAGCTGGCAGAAGGCAGTACTGCCGATGTTCTACATTCGAGAATCGGTGGAGAAATAATGGAATTAGTCCTGGTGAAATACCAGGGCAAAAACTGGAATGGACATTTCCGCATAAGTGATACACTTCCCGAATTCTTTCTTGTGTGTTTTTCTTCTGACTCCACAGAAGTGATGACAATTGACCTGTCGGTACACGTCAGGCGAATTGGCAGCCGGATGGTGCTGTCTGTCTTTAGTCCCTATTGGCTAATCAACAAGACTTCTCGCGTTCTGCAGTATCGTTCAGAAGATGTTCATGTGAAACATCCAGCTGATTTCAGGGATATTATTTTATTCTCTTTCAAGAAGAAGAACATTTTTAGTAAAAATAAGGTGTGTTTTTGTTCACATAACAAGTTAAAATAGATAAATTCCTAATCTAGAAACTTGGGAATTATTTGCCTTGCCTACAACCATACTTACCTCTTTGCTAAGTGCCATTGGTATGAATTGGGTCCAATTCCTTTTAAGAAGTTCATAATAAAGTGGGTTATTAGGAACTAACAACAACAGTTTCCTGAGGCTAAGTTACCTTTTTCTCCAGTTCCTACAGCATTACTTCTGTTCTTGAAGTAGTGTCAGATAGAATGGCTTGATTTTACATACTTTACCAATGATAAAATGGCATTTCTAAAGATGCAACTGTTGAATTTGGCTTATATTAACTGAGCCTTCTATGTATGAAGCTCTAAGCCAGGCCTTTGGGAGAGAAATGTAATGCCTAAGCCTGGTCCTTTGTGCTCCAGTTCCTTTTTTCCTCTTCAGACTCATGTTTTCTTATTCCTCACAACATGCTTTCCCAAGTGCTTACCTGTAGGCTTTTGCATATGCTGCTCACCCTCTGCCTAGGATGCCTCTTCCTGCTTGTCTGCTATTCATCCTTTGGCATTCTGCTCAAGCTTGATATGTGTGAAGATTTGAAATGGGTCTAGATATCCCATCCATGAGTAGTGGTTCTCAAATTTCAGCATGCATTGGAATTGCCTGAAGGGCTTTTAAAACTGATTGCTGGGTCCTTCCTGCCTCTAAAGTTTGATTCAGTAGATCTGGGTAGGGTATGAGAATTTGCATTTCTAACAGACTAACAGATTCCCAGGTGATACTGATGCAGCTAGTTTGGGGACCACTTTGAGAACCACTCTCTTAGAGTATTGATTAACGCATAGTATTGTAATTACTTGTTTATGTGTCAGATGTCCTCAGGTTTTTAATAATCTAATTGGGTGGTTGGGGTTGTGATTAATACAGAACACAGATCTCTTCTGTAAGACCTTTCTAAATCCCAGAGCCAGAAGTAAACTCCTTACCCTTGCACCTCGATAGCATTTTGTACCTCTTGTATGGCTCTTATCACATTTAGCCTTGCATTATAATCATTAGTATTTCCTATTCTCTGTTTAGTTGGAAGCTCATTAAAGATAGGAACTGTGTCCTATTGTCTTCTGTTCTGCCTATCATAAAACCGTTCATATAGTATCTACTGAATAATGTTAAAGACATGAATTTTCTATGTGCTAAAATTTTCTTTCTTTTTTCTTTTTTTTTCTTTTTGAGACAGAGTCTCACTCTTTTGCTAAAATTTTAAGAATTTGTTAGCTCTGTATCAGAAGTCCGACCCTCGAAAATATTTTGCATTATAATTCTTTTGAAAAATAACACAAAGTCTCATTGGTATACGTCTCTAAATTCACTGTACTTACTGCACAGGTGAATGGGAAGGTCAGAACTATGCTTTTATTGTATTATTCTCTAGAGTTTTCTGTGGTTGTGTTACCCATTTCCAATATGGATTTGATTATATTTTTCTGTGTCCCATGATACTAAAGAAATTTCTTATAATCTAGCAACTTTCCATCAAGTAAAATTATTACAGTCTTTTAGGTTTCTTATATGATGGTGTGTGTTTTCTGGTATAGGTACAATTAAAAATTTCAACTAGTGCCTGGTCTAATAGTTTCTCGTTGGACACAGTGGGAAATTATGGTTGTGTGAAGTGTCCTGCCAACAATATGGAATACCTGGTAAGACTGCTTGCTTATTGACCTCTGACTCCACTCGCCTTTTTCTATAGTTCAATAAACAAGTTGGCTCCTAAAGGGTACAGAAATTTGAATTCAAAGTATTATGTGAAAGGCTATTATCTCTCCAGATTTTTATGGCCTTTGGTATCAAAGCAAAATCTGAATTTTTCTAAGTTTAAAACAGTGAGTTGAATCCATCCAAGTGAGCAACTTGGTAAATACTCACGGTATGCTAGAATCCTCATTCCATACCACCCCCTGCCAAACATATCTTAAATCTTAAATTTGACTACTGTGAAAATTTGAACAATCTGATGCCACTTGACTTCTTTTATTATTGCTTTGAAATTTTTATTTTATCAATAGCAAATAATAAAACAGAAAAACTTGAGCCTCTACAGTAACTGTAAAGCAGTTTGTGTTTGGAATGTTAAAAAGTAAAGAATACTAACCGAATTCACTTTCTTATTGCAAGTCTTCATTAGTTAAATTATTGATTGATTTCTTGGATTGGTATCTGGTGGAGCCAAACTAAGGAACTAAAATTTTTTTTCTTAGTGAGAAGATAGTATTGGAATTTGGCTTATAGTAGTTACTTTATTTAAGAATTCTTATTTTAAAATATTTTAAGAAGTTTGTGTGTGAATGAGGATTTGTGTGTATGTTTCAAAGAAACTGAATAAAGTACTAGAAAGTAAGTTTGTTTTCTTTCCACAGGTTGGTGTTAGCATCAAGATGAGCAGTTTTAATCTTTCACGAATAGTCACTCTGACTCCCTTTTGTACCATTGCAAACAAGTCATCATTAGAACTAGAAGTTGGTGAAATTGTGTCTGATGGCTCAGTGCCGACTATTAAATGGAACTATATTGGTTCATCAGAGGTAAAATTTTTCTTTAATATAACTGTTTCCTAAAATATAGAAATAAATATTGATATATAAGTAACAGTTGTATATATCTTTTTATCATACTCACTCTGCTATTATATTTATGTGTTAAAATGGGACAGCCAGCTTTGAAAGGTTTTTCTTTCACACTGTAACTATATGTAAAAAAAAGTTTTTTTTGATAATTTTTACCACTTGCCTAGTGTAGATGGTTAATGGTCTTCCTCTAGTTCTTCTTATATGTGTAGAAAATGGATATGTACTATAAAAAGCACATAAAGAATGTACTAGGTATTGTCTCAATAGTTAAGATACTATCTCTATATTCAAGAAGCTATAATTTTGTTGGAGGAGCCTAAGGCTCATTTAAATCACCACATGGAGAGAAAGGTAGCATATGATAAGGTATAGGTGGTTGTAGAATTTCTGAATAAGTGAGCTAGAAGTTTCCTTGAAAATTAACTAAAATTTAACCCTCCCACTTTACAGAAGAGAAAACTGAGTTTCACATTTTTCCAATGTTAATAAAGTCATTGGTAGTTGGGATCATCGTATTTTAGATCAAAGGTAAAGTTTAATGGAAGAGGTGGGATTCGAACTAAACTTTGTAGGCTCTGTAAGATTTGAAGAGATGAGGAGAATGAGGGAAAGAGTATGAGAAGACCGGTGCAG